ATTTTATATGTCGATTACTGCCTGCCTTATTGTTAAAATATAAAAATTAAAGAAAAACAAATGTACCAGTTATTGCACACTTGTTTCTGCTGCTTAGAATATACCGAGTGCACTTAAACACGGAACTATTTTTTAAATATAAGGCCTACACAAAAAGAAAACGCAGACGTGTGGGTGTCCTTGTTGAGTACGAGTTTAGTGGCCGTCCCCCACCATACAGGACCCCCTGGGGGTCCATCTCTCTCTGATCTCCCTTTGGAGCCCCGCAGTCTGCTAAACCAAGTTATGATGTAGACGAGAAGCGGGGAAAGGCGGGAGTTTATTTGCTTCTGATGGATTGGCTTGAAAGTTCTCCAGGTGTCTCTTCTCGTGTACGTGTTTTGACCTTATTCTGAGAACGTTTGTTTATGCTAAGTACTTCCACTCTGGTTCATTCCTCTTTAGAATATCAGGAAGGGTATAAAATTATCACAGACTCTCAACGACAGAAACTCATTACCATAAAGTACCAGGAAGGTTTAAGTTACTTGACACCAAAATTATAACATTTAATAAAGTTAACGAATCTGAATTTCTTGAGGTTTTTCAACAAAATAGTATAGACTTGTGGATTCCTCGATGCGCCCATTCGTTCTACGTGTCTCACCGATATTATCTCGATTTTGTCCCTAACAATGTAAGATGAAGAGTACAAATTACTGAAGCTCCTTGTTATGAAATTTACTCGATTGTAAAGTTGCGTTATTAAGTCGATGGCGCAGAGTTCTTCGTGAGGAGCTAATTGTCGCTTAGCTAGTCAATAAATTGCCCAATCTGCCGTTTATGGAGCTCCAAGGTTCATTAGCTTGTTCGCAGGAGGTCGCCACTGGTCTATAGTCTGAGCCTCACACTTTGTTTAAGATTCATTTTAATGGTATCATCTCACTTACGCCTGTGTCTCCCACGTGGTATCTTCTTTAAAGTTTTTCTGACGAAAATTTTGAACGCGTTTCGTGTTTTCTGTTGTCTCCTAGCAGTATGTTATACGACACGTAGAATGGCGTGTGACTGTTGATCACCCTGTACATTTCGCCAGACCAAGAGAAAGACTATGTCTGGGGAGAAAGCAGAGCCTCTGGTAAATGTGAATTAACTGCCAGCAACTGAGTTTATTAGTTTATTTAACGACACTTTCAGTATCTCAGACTATGTAGCGTCGAATGGGAGGATGATAGTGAATAATGACATGGAATGGATGTGGAAAGAAGCTGTCGTGGCCTAATTAAATGTACTATCCTGGTATTTTCCTGGAAGAGATGAGGAAAACCAAGAAAAGTCAGTCAGAATAGCTGATCTCCTGCTGAGATTTGAATCTGGGTTCTCCCGAATACGGAACAGGAGTGTTAACTCGATCACATTTGAATTTTGTCACATTTTTAATGATTTTAAAACTTATTATTATTATAATTTTTCCATGTAATCGGATGAAAAGACGTGAACATGTACTTGGTTTTCTCTTCACGTACGTCTAGACTAGCTTCCTTACGACCGCTCAGTAAATTAACATCATTAACGTAACGGAAGCTGATGTGCCACATTCATTTCGAATCTCTGCTTTTCGTTCCTAATGGTAAAGGTATGAGTAAATGGAATCTTTGAGATTCAAAAATTAAGATGCAGGGCAATACATAAAACATTAAAACGACGAAAGAGACAATGTTTAGATTTTATAAAGTACCAGCTGTTTCGTGTGGAAGTGAATTGTTTGAACAAGTTCTTGAGACGTACCGAATTTGACTGAATTTAAACCGAATATATAATAGAAAGAGATCAGTATGTATTCCATAAATTTTATAAGATACCAGTACAGAGAAAAACAACTGACGGTGACATATTTCTAGAACTTGCATATCAGCGTGATAAAGAGGTGGGAAAAAGCATTGAAAAAGTTAGATGTGCAGTCAGACAGGGTCGAACCTGATCCGAAAAGTACATTTGTCTGTATTATTAATTTTCAAGAGTTACGAATTTCGGCATTTTAATAACTTTATTTACAATTAGGCTTTTCAGTAATATAATTTGAACGAAATAGAGTAGTATATGTTGTATTGATAATCTCTGTAACACATTTGCGTCTGAGGAAAAGGGAAAAAATGTCTGTTGAAGAATGAAAATTCGTAAGGAACGCATTTCGAAACTATTTGTGCAACTCTTTTGCCTTACTTCAAGGTACAGAATACCAGGAAAAAGCAGTATGTTAATTTAGAGCAGTGGGTCGATGTTTTCAGTCGGGGTCATAGAGCTGTGCGGAATGAAGTTCCAGCAGGCTTGTCTTGTCTTGTCTCGCCGTCCGACGTATTTAGACACCAAGTTCTACTTGCTGCGGCTTCCTACCGACGCCTGCACAGTTCTGCGCGTTCCCTATTTCCTTGTATGTATCCTATCTGCCTGCCTCTTCTCAGCTCAGAGTTACTGTCCCCAAAATATAATTATTGGAGTCTATCTTCCTCCTGTCCACGTCTTCCTGATGTTTTCTACTTGTAACCCTTTCGTACCTTCTTCAAAATTAGGTTATCACGTTGGCGAGGGTGAGGGTGACTCTCTTCTGGGGTGTTTGTTGTTTGATAGAAGTTTCCCGACGTTGTAGGATTTGAAGTTTTCACAGCGGTGAGTCTGAAGATGGCTGTCTTCTGGGGTGTTTGTTGTTTGATAGAAGTTTCCCGACGTTGTAGGATTTGAAGTTTTCACAGCGGTGAGTCTGAATATGGCTGTCTTCTGGGTTAATACGCCGTGAAGTCTGGTAAAAGTTAACCGGCGTTTCAAAGGTCCTTGCTATGGAAGCAGCAAGGACCTCTGAAAAGTCTGCTAACTTCCACCAGACTACACGGCGCAACAACCCAGAAGACAACCATCTTCGTTTTATAGGTTCTTGCTACGATAACCCTGATGATTGAGGCAACATGTACCTCTGAAACTCATGTAAAATACCAGACTTACACGGCGCCACTCCCTAGAAGACAGCCATTTTGTCTGACGTGTCTTCGGTCTCGAGGTCCCCAGCCTTCTATCCGTTTCGCGTAGTTCTTTCTCATGGTGTCCTTTCATAAAGATTTTTACCTAAGAGGGATGAAGCCAGTGGACCATTTGCGGATGTTCCATAACGAGTAACTTTAAGATTTATTATCAGGCCAACTATTATTGTTTGAATTTTAATTTGTAATTGTTACATAAACGCAATTGTGTGTTTGTTTGCTTGCTTTGATGCATACTTGGTCGCTTTCACTGATAACTGAAAGTCCTCAATAATGTCACAAGATGGCAGAATGTTCTATTTTACAAGTGCTGTTACAGTTAGGCAGCTTTTAAAAGTAGGATGGGCCTGTGGGCGATGAAAACTTTCGAATAAAATAGTGCGTAGCACTGCTGATATTGCTCATTGTTATTCTTAGTTGATATTTGTGGGAAAGGAATATTTAGACGGGACAAAGAAGGTAAGGTAAAGCTACCTATAAATGAAGGGGAATAAGAGATGAGGATACATTTCCCGTTGAACTTCAAGAGGTTTTTTTCAATTACTACGAGACATACTTCTTCTGGTACTCTTCCTGTCTGTGTCGGAGTTTCTGTTCGTCCATCATGTCTTCATTTTTCGTATTTCTAGATTTCCGTCTCCTGATAACTTTTCATACGAATGATATCAGCTCACGGTATTACACATTTAGAAGCATCGTGATTCATACAGGGCACCTGGTATTGTTATGACAGTGAAATGAATAGTTTGCGACACAAAAATGCATATAGCATTCAGTCGGGAATGTATGGGAAGGACAGAGATCGCAGTAGAGACTGTTTGACGGTCGGTCGGATATCAAAATAAATCTTAAAGGAATAGAATTTGAATGGGGGGGAGGATTGTCTCAGAACGAACAGTGTGTGGTGGTGACATATTCCAGCATCTGTAGCCTGATTCTTTACAGCAGTTTCTCTTGATCATTTCGCATTGACCTATCAGTACGTAAATTTTTGTTTCCTGTTAATTAGACCATCCTGAGAAGTCTTTCCTGGACATTGACCTATCAGTACGTAAAGTTTCGTTTAGACCATCCTGAGAAGTCTTTCCTGGGAGGAAAACATTGAAGTGAATTTCTTGTCTCTTTAATCCTAGGTCAATGTCCAGTTTCATAGTAACTTCGTAGATTTCACTCTCCTAACATTGGACCCCAGATGAAAGAAGTTCTCTGTTATATTAGATTGCAGACTGACTTCTTAGTTATTCCTTCTCAGGTCTAAATACTTTCCTGAGCGCTTTGTGTTAAGACATTTGTAATTTGGGTTTGGCACTCAGAGGAAGAGACCACTTTTCACACGCATACAGAACAACTGGCGAATTTATTTTACATGTCCTGATACCATAGGATAGTTGGTCCCCAGACCTTGATTCGAATTTGAACCTCCCGAACACGAATACACTAGTTGTGCCGTTCAACTACGACATTTGATTTGACACGTGTAACACGCATTCGAGAGATGCCAGGTTTGAATCGACCCTGAGTATCGAATGTGTTCATGGTGATTTTACCAACTTTCTCCATGCAAAGATTAGAATAGTGCATTTAAATCGTCCCCGACCATTCCCACATCCTTATCATCATGTCATCAAGTTAATACTCCTGAAAAGTAACGTTTGGCTACATAACTTTCTTTTCCGCGTTATAACAAACATGCACAAATATCAAAATTGGGATCAGTAACTTCGAAAATGAGCGTCGAAGTGTGGCTCACAGCACAAGATCAAGTGTCGATGAGTAATATTGTGGGGAGGGGGTTCACCGCCCCTTTGTTCCCGCCCTGAACTTCAGACGACCTACCTGATATGCCTGAACTTCATCGAATGTGTATCTGTTTCCCTGACTCCGGCCGGACTTTCTCTCTATTACCGTGTCGCCATTCGGTCTCTCAGAACTGAGCCGCAGGCTCACACTCCGCGCAATTATTGATTCTTATCTCCTTCTTATCCGCAGGAACCTTGCGATAGGCATAGGGATTCAGAACTTCCCTGAAGGTCTTGCAGTCAGCCTACCTCTTCAGGCAGCGGGCGTCTCTACACTACGCAGCTTTTTGTGAGTAAAACAATGACTTACGTACTTCTACTTTACTATGTTATTCAAATAAACATATTTGATTTGTACTTGTTCTTTGCACCAAGAACGTAAAATTAACTCTTTATGAGGAGAACAAGTGTGTCAATTCAAAAGTCTGCCTCCTCAAGGAGTTTTAATGACTTTCTGTATGAGAGTGCGGTGCTAACAATGAGAGTTGTTCTCTGCATGATATGGTGCTTGATTCTGCACCAGGCAAACTCTCTTCTTCGTCTGCCCATCATAACATCTACATTACAGGAAATTCATTCCGAACTGTGAAAATGCAGCGTTCTGTAGTACCATTCAGCCGCGAGGTCGTATTTAATACTGACCCTTAGGCTGAGGGGAAGTGTTGATTGCAATGAGTAGGATGTTTGTCGTGTCCCTCCGCGTGCATTTCCTCCCCGGAAGCTTTGTCCTGCTGGTGTCCAAAAGAGGAAGTCCAAGACCACCAGGACATGAAGACGCTTACGAGTGGTTATATATCTGCATGCGTTTCTTGGCGGTGCTGTATGGAGGTGAGTAGTAAGTGCTGAAGAATAGGCTAATCAATGGTAGCGGACGGATCGGCAAGTGATCATCACATTCTCTGCCTTTTATAAAACTCGAAACACCAAAGTCCGGAATTTGACTCTGTACTGAGTTAGTTCAGTCCACACCGCATTCTCACGCCAAGTTTGATTTTAATGTTATCCTTCAGATTGTAGTTATTTTTTATCCAGATCGACTGTGGGGTTCACCCAACCACCTTTCCAGTGGATAAAGTGGCCGGGACTTGAAACTAGCCACTTACCTGCATCTACTTCCGAGATTAGCAATGCATGGAGAAAGTTTTTCACTCCCTCATACGTCTGCATGACACAGTGCTTGTTAAGGCACACTGACAACTTTGCCTTTTGTCATCTTGCATCGTAAGTAGTCTCTTCCTGTAAGATTTTCCCATTAACATTTTGTATTCATTTCTTATCACTCCCGTGAATGTTATCCTGACTTGAGTCTTTAGTGTTTTTTCTCGTTCAGTCCGTGCCCATGCTGGAACAATGCCTTCAGACATGCCATGACCTTTTCCATTTCATCATGCATGCTTCATCACTTGGCACTCTAACCATTATGACGTAACGAAATTAAAATAGTATAGGCCTAGTTAAATGACTCTTACTTCTTGGAATACCGATTAGAAAATGGGAAGATAACTTTTGAGTGGGCATGTGCAAGTAGGCTGTGATGATTTTAACAGGATTTGTAGTGTCCAGCTCCGAATGTTGGTAATGGTGGTGTTCTGTTAACAGAAAATCGCTTGGTTAGTTGGTTGGTTGACTAGTTCGTCAGGCAGACACATTGGCCTGTTCTCATCTTGACAGACGATTGACTCTTGCTGCTAATTCAGGAACAGTGCCCCTTAAAGGTAGATTTTTCGTGCTTATTTAAGCACGTCGGTATGAAGACGTGGTGGTCTGGTTCCACGTTTCTTAACCTCGATTCTGTGGAGGTGAGTGGTCAGCTTCAAACCCCGAACCTTTTACCCCGAAGGAAATTTTAATTAGGTTTACTTTCTGAGTTATTCTGGTTCTTCTACCGTACCGCGTAAATTTGAGGAAATTTCAATTAGGTTTACTTTCTGAGTTATTGTGGTTCTTCTACCGTACCGCGTAAATTTTTGGCATATTGTATCATTATGTTTGTAATTGATGATCAACCAATGTGTTAAAGACTGTTATTGAGTAATGAATAAATTAATAAATTATCATGAAGATTCAGCAAATGAGGTTTGAGTTTCTCACGGCGGGTAGTATGAAGATGGTTGTTTCGGGGCTGTTATGCCGTATAATGTGGTAGAAGTTTACCAACGTTTCAGACGTAGTTGTTTCCTCCATAATCAGGTCGATGAGTGCAAGCACCTCTGAAACGTCGGTGAACTTCTTACCAGACTACACAGCGCTACAACCCAGAAGACAGAAATCTTTAGGTTTCAGTAAATTGCCCTCACTTGTAACTTGGCAGTCCATGAATCGATAAGCTAGGGTGAGTGACGCCAGGTCTTAAGAGGTTGAGTAGCGTACCAACTCATGCTTTAGCCATTCTTATTTTGGGGTTCGTCACTCGTGTGTCAGTAACGCCACTGCAACTGGAGTGCTGATTCGCGTGGACTGAACAGGTGATAAGACGTGAAGTGTGTGGGGGGCCAATGTCCGTCTGCTCACCTGGTGATAAAGATAACGGGTGTCTGTACTTACTTCTTTTCCAGGTGTTTGTGACTATCTACGGGATACGTCACCGGTATTCGATCCCCGTATGGGGCAACACAGTCTCCTGTCTAATGGCTACCGGCCCCCTTTCTTCAGATATTTGCGAACGTAACGTGAAGCTTACCAAAATCTTAATTTATTCTAAAATGTTGGATTTCATATCCCTTATCCTTGTACGTGTTTTGCACCGACTTGTGGTTATGAGCCCTCAAATAAATGACAAGATTGATATTAGTGGTGATTTGTGATTTATGTGGGTGGCAGTGGTTGTAGCCTGTTTTAAATTACCGTCACAGCAGTTCCTTGAGATAGTGAATAGACAAACGGACGAATACGTATGTAATATTATTATTAAAAAGATACGTTTCGTTTACATGTGAAAATTTCTGTTGTGCACGTATTTCCAACACGTCGTAAAACAGGTAACGGTAGATTTGACAACGCATTAGATGGCGCGATGTGAATAAATGTTGCTATTATAGTATACATCCGAAAATTAGTGCGCTTTTTACAAGTCTTCTATTAAATACATTGTATATTTTATCCTCCGCATATTAATATTCGTGTTATTGAGGTAAAGTTGTCCCAGGTGATTAATTAAACACAGAGCCATGCAGTGTCGGTATAGCTCCACGCATTTTTAACCTCAGCACCGGTTGGAGGTGGGTGGCTAGCTTCATGCTCGGCCGCTTTGTCTCCTACGAGCAACCCTGATTCCCACTGGATGTGAAATTGTGTGTGCCCAAGAAACGTTGTGGCGAAGAGACAAATTCTGCCCTGTCGGTGTGCCCAAGAAACGTGGCGAAGAGACAAATTCTGCCCTGTCGGGAATCGAACCGCCGTCATCCTACCCTTACGTCGTGTACCGAAAAGTGGTGGGTCCCTGTATCGAGTTTCATCTCGTACAGGCATCCTCAAATGTTTTATTTTGGCCTGCAAGGACAGTGGTACTCGTTCGAAAAGGCGTCTATCGGCTTTGCCATTGGTTATCCCGCGTGCGACAAGTCTAGAGCCGCTGGATTCAAATAACTTTACTGAGTTGGCGACATATTCCAGTTTTGGTCGAATGTATCTTTCCGCGCGGAAGTGTCTGGGGTGTGGAATCCCGAGCCAGCTGCTCAGCCACGTGGGGATTCCAGTGGTGACGTCATCACCGAGACATAAATCCCGCCCACATAAAGGTCATTGACCCCCACACATGACTCTGACGTCACTGGCGCCGTTTCATAAGATCAAAAGCCAAATTCTGGCAAACTCGCCAGAGTTGTTACGCGACCCGTTCATTTGCTGTCATTGTTTCTGTTTGGATGCGCGCCTAGAAATCTCTACTTCTGCCTTAAATCGAATCATGCGTCACTGTCACAGCTGACTTCTGAATTCTCACTTCAGTTCTCATCCGTTGTATTCAATTGTTTTGAAACTTTCGCGTCGTCAGTCCACGATTAGGTTTTGTTTCTTACTGGCTCTTCTGACCTGTGCAAGGAAACACAACAAAAGAGAACAGATAATGAATGACTCGTTCTTCGAACTCAGTCTGACAGAGTTGGTAGCCTTGGTGTGACTTTGTGGACTGTAACTAAAGTACATTGTATTTATTCAAGATTTAAAACTAACCTGCACGAGAAATTCAGTGTTTTGAAGGTACCACAAAGTTCGTCACCGTGTCCACAAAACATTTATTCCACTTGATAATCTATATCTTTTATGAACATTTTAATATTGTTCTCATATCTTCGCGTTTGCCTTCAATGTGGAATTTTTCCTGACAACTATTTTTGCATTTTATCCGTCTCATCTTTTTCGTATTGATTTAATCACCCTCATAATATCAGATAAGGATTAAATATCATGAAACTCCTCATTACGTGATTTTCTTCAGTCATCTGTTCATCTTTCTCATCGCTTTGTTTAAAAAGCTAACTATGCTTCACAATGTAACAACCAAAAATACAGTCATGTTAATACATCCCTTGAGAACCTAAACTTTCACACGCAGCGTTTTGGTTAAAATGCTGAACCAACCGAAATTTGCGGTTGAGCAGCTGACAATCTTCTTTCTTATTGGGAGGTCCACGGTTCGATTCTTACGAAATAGATCTCACCTTTTTTTTACATTTACACCTATTTTGCAGGAAACAGTTAAGTTCTCTCTTATCCGTGGTGTCAGGCTATCGAGAGTGATCGAGAAAATTCCCTAGATAATAACTTGACTAATCGGTTAACTGTTCAGTAGAGCCTGTGCGTTTGTGAACGTAATCCATTCTGTGTGTGTCCTTCCTCGTGAGGATAGGGGAGACGAAGATAGAGCCGGATGTGTGTGGCGGGAGGAAGGGGGAGGCCGGAAGTGGAGTATAAATGCCAGCAGTCACTTGTCTGTAGTAGGAAGAACTCTGGGCCTTTCTTCTTGTAGCCCTGTTGTCTGCTTGGAAATCATGGGCTGCCCTGATAGAATTACCAAAGGAATAAACAGCGCTTGTCAGAAAGACGGTTGTCTTCTGGGATGTAGTGTAGTCTCATAGAAATTGGCCGACTCTTTCCGGAGATTCTTAGCGATGAGTCTGAGGTTCGTATTCGGTTCGTCTTGACTGCAGATTTTGTTTTTCTCTTCAGGAGACTTCAAACAAATGTAGACCTGTTGATGTTCGCCGTCTGGGTTGTAAAGGGGCTTCATGTGGAATTGCAGGTTGATACTAACATAAGTCAGCTCTGAAGATGGAGACAGTATGTTTCTTT